TGCAGGAAGTTTCTTCTCTCTTCGTTAGCTCAGCCAATATAGAAGTGCAAGATCCTTGTGCAGTATACATTGTTCAGGTACGCTGCACTGTAATTGAAGGAGTTGGCTCCTGGAGTGATTGGAGCAGACCTGCCTATACAGTTGTTAAGGATATCAAAGGTCAGTCTCCTACCATTTTTTAAAATATATCTTTTATTTGCTTGCTTGTTAGTTTGCATTTAAATGGGATGTTTTGATTCTCAAAATTAAATTATTTCAGCTCCACTGAGAGGACCTGAATTCTGGAGAGCTGTTAATGAAGACCCAATTAGGAATGAGAAAAATGTCACTCTGTTTTGGAAGGTAAGCAGAATTTAAATTAATATCAGGAGTCTGTTTATTCATGATGTGTTTCTTGATATGCTGATGCAGAGTTTGAAGAATATGTGATCCAAACATCTGGTAAAGTTATTTGTATTAGCAAAATCAGCAAATCACAGTAGAAATCTGTGATGGATCAAGGATCTGCAAAACTTTAAAACAAAGCATAAACAGATGGTGACGATGATGATGATAGTGTATTGTCAAGTACATTCTGACTTATGGCAACCCTTTTGGGGGGTTTTGAGATAGAAAATAATCAGTAGTGGTTTATAATTCCCTTCTTCTTGAGTGTATCTTGGGACTGTACTACTTGCCCGTGGTTGCACAGGCTGTTTTTTCTCCCTGGAGGCAAAGTGGGAAATAAAACTCCTAGGTTCTGATACCTAACTCACTGATCACTAGAAAAAGAAATTCAGATGTATGCTATAGTTGAAATCCCATTGCATAACTTAACACATGTGGAAAGGTGATGACATCAATGGATAAGAGGTGATTTTCAGTAATTAAAAACATACTAGTCCAGTCTTGTGGATTTTCTGACTTCTGTGTAATTCCTTTCACCATGTAGAAGCCGTAAGAACTGAGGGACAGAAGGAGGAAGTCTTTAATTACAGAAATTGGTTGCAGTCAGATGATGTATTTGACGGAGGGAGATTTTTGCTAATCAAATGAGAGTGAAAAAAGCTGAGGGACAGAAGTCGTCGTCGTTTAGTCGTTTAGTCGTGTCCGACTCTTCGTGACCCCATGGACCAGAGCATGCCAGGCTCTCCTGTCTTCCACTGCCTCCTGTAGTTGTGTCAAATGCATGTTGGTTGCTTCGCAGACACTGTCCAGCCACCTCATCCTCTGTCGTCCCCTTCTCTTGCCATCACCCTTTCCTAACATCAAGGTCTTTTCCAAGGAGTCTTCTCTAAGGAGCCTTTCTTCTCATGAGGGACAGAAGTAGGGCATTTTAAATTACAGAAAATTGTTCCTGAATTGTACTGTCATCACTTTTTCGTGTGCATAAGTTGTGCAACAGGATTTCAGTGTTTATACCTACAATAATAGGTAATTTAGTTCTTATGCTTCAGAAATATGGAAGAAGTAATATTAGTTTACTCAACTAGAAATCCATCCATCATCCTTCACTATTTCAAAAACTTTGTGGTTTGGCAGTTCCTTTTTGAAAAATAAGCTTAAAATCCAAACTTGATTGTATAATAGAATTTATTAAATTTAAGTTTCTAGCACATTTATTCTGATATGAAAGTGTAAGGTAATTGAGGTTATGACCCATAAATGTTACAGGGAATGCAAATTTGTTAATAAATGTAGCTTTTAGTCTTGTTAATGCAAAATATGAGTAATGGCACTTCGATATTTTTTTAAAAAAAGTTTGCAGTGTGCATCAGAATCCTACCTGGGAGTAAAATGCTTAATATGTGCTATTTTTCCTTGCAGCCACTGATGAAGAATCTTTCTTTATGCAGTGTGCTAGACTATATGGTAGAGCATTACATTTCAAGAAACGTAACTTGGTCTGAATATGTTGAAAATGACAGTACCTATACATTTTCATGGACAGAGGATCTCCATATTGTGAAAGTTGTTGCCATCAACTCAGTTGGTGCTTCCTCTGTGAATTCTGTTTTAACTCTATCAAAGCAAATGAGCACAGGTAAGAATACCATTTTTGATTACTCATTTTTAATAAATATTTCATAATAAAGAAGGTGAACTCATTGTATAACATTTCAGTAGCAGAATATATTTTTCCAGCTTTAGGAAGTTATACTTTATTAATTTATAAATCAATATATTGGAGGCAAATGCGATTGATCTCAATAGAAATTACGTCTCTTTAAACAGTTTTTGCTGCCTAATACCTCAAATGTGTCCATCTTGCTTGCTTACAGCAAAGCTTGCCAGCATTGTAAAGCATACTATGGTCATACATAAGAGCACACAGAAGGTGGTACAAGATTTAAAAAGGTATCTGTTCTGTGGGATCTTAATGGTGAAAGCAGTCAGACTAAACACTCTCATAGAAGCTACTGACACAGTGAAAACTAATATGAAATAGGAAAATAAGCTGAACATTAAATGTTTGTATATTGATACAAGTCAGCAATTTGACTCACTCTTTTAAAGTGCGATTTATTTCAGTCCTTATCAGCTTTATGAAACTTACAACTTAAAAACTAAAATAAAAATGTAAAATGTAACCCTACTGTAGTAGTTCTCTGAGGAGTATTTCTTCCAGCTTTTATGGGATGCTGTGTCTTGTCACAAATATACTGTGTTTTGTTTTTACTCCCTTATCAGTAAACGTTGTGAAGTATCTCAATGTTTACCCAGTAAACAGCAGTTGTGTGATCGTGTCTTGGGTCCTTTCACCTATGACTTATAGTGTTACGTCTTTCGTAATTGAATGGATAAACTTAAGTGAAGAAGAACAAATTAAGTGGATAATTATTCATTCAGATGTTAGAAAATGCCATATTTTTGGTGAGTTTGTTTTTCTCTTCTTTATTCTGTATGTTAATGTGTTATCACAGTTTTGCACGTTACAGTTAAAAATCTGTGAGGAACTGGTAGACCCTTAACAAATTTGAAATGATAGGTGCTAAAGTATAAGGCTGAGAAAGACCAGTGCTCAGAAAGAGAAATCAATATTTGTAACATGCATAAAGAGTTGCTAGAAAAACCACAAGACCAGCAACTGCTGTGTTATCCCGAAATAAGACAGGGTCTTATATTAATTTTTGCTCCAAAAATGCATTAGAGCTTATTTTTAGGGGATGTTTTATTTTTTTCCATGTACAACCATGTACATTTTTTTCAAAAACGATCATGTCATCTTTTTCGGGTTGCTGCAAATTGGTGGAGTGCAAGGTTTCACTTAACTGGGGCTTATTTTGGGGGGTATGGCTTATATCATGAGCATCCTGTAAAATCATACTAGGGCTTATTTTCAGGTTAGGTCTTATTTTTTTTGGGGGGGAAGGGTATCATTCTTCTGATTGAAAACTGCTGATCTCAGGTTTCCACAGGGAGTCAACAATGGCTTTTATGTAGTTGAAGAATGCAGGTTGCCTGTACCTTTCTTAAATAATTAATTCTGTGATTGAAATCCTGTTGATTAGCATAGTTTGTTGCACTAAGAGTAGGCCCATTGAATCTCTAGGGATGTGGCAAGTTGACTCATTTGTAAGTTACCCTGACTCAAACAGGCTTGCTTATTTATTTATTTATTTATTTATTTACCTAACTGTAGTTGCAATTGCTTTATTATAGGAAGCCACAACTAGAGTAGACCTATTTGAATCCGTGGAACTTACAAAGTAGTTGACTCACCAAATCTCCATTGATTCAGTAGGCCTGCTCTAGTGCAACTTGCTATTCTAAATCCTCAGGATTCCAACCAATGTTTTCTACCATACATGTCTATGTACACTTACCTGGTTTTGAGTTACATGCTACGAGGCAAGAGGTCTGAAGCTGATATGTCTCTGATGTCATACCCAGTACATGACAGCAGAAATGTTAGGAGCACTAGGTCCTGTTGGAACAGGCTGTGAATCCAGAATGGGAAGAGAATTATGTTAGCACTGGAGCTGGCATACTTCATGTCCCTCAGATTCACAACAGTGGGAGGGAAAAGATTCAAGCAACAGAGACAAAAAAATAGAAGAACCACAAAACACAATTTTTCCTTTACTTATGCCCTGCTGTCCTAAGACTGGTAAAGCTGTCAAGAAGTTGGTTTCTCCCTGTCCATATTCTCCCATCAGTAGGATTATTCTGCCCAAGTATGAAACTTTTTGAGTTTATTTTTTAAAATGTGTATTGAAGACAGCTTGTAAAATTGATTTCTTTCTGTCACAAATACTATTTTTTTTTGTTCCAGATAATTTCATTCCTGTAGACAAATACCGATTTAGTTTGTACCCAATAATTCATGAAGGAGTGATGAAGCCTGCAACAACTTATGGATTCTCCAAAGGTGAACAATGTTGAGTGACTTTTTTTCCAGTAGATTTCATCCTTCAAATAGAGATTTCTTGCTCTAAATTTCATAAGAAATATTTTAAAATAATACATTGAAGATGTTTCTTTTAGATAACATACTGGCACATGGCTTTATTACATATAGACCACACATCTTGATTGCCAAGAAAATCAATAATTTTAATCCTTAGTACCACTAACATAGAATTTTCTCTGTTTAATTTTACATGAGTATATTTTTAATCAAATGTCTTTAAAAAACATAGAAACATCCAATAACATATAACAAAAAACCTAATATATATTGTGCTCCACCGCCCCCCCAGATCATTTGGAGTTACACGTATTCCTGTCCCTGCACCTATAAAACCCCCTTCCCCTTCCAAAATACAGTAGCATTGATTCTTGCAAAGTGCTCTTCCTTTTTATTAATACAAAATCAAAGAATTCTTCCCAGGTCTATAAATAAATTCTTATTTATCAACCCCTTCTTGATGTTAATGTTGCATGTTAACTTGTCATTATTGGCTGTATCCCAAACCTCTCTGTACCATTTATATAACTGAAAATCATACACTTTCCAATACTGTACCTAGCTACAATTAAGTTTGCCACTGTTAATAAATTGAAATTTAATCTAATCCATTTACATTGCTCCCTCTCCAATATTGATAAAAAGCACTATTTTAGAACACACCACAATCTTTAACTTAGATATTATTTCATTCATTTCCTTAAAAACCAATTGCCAAAATTTCAGTATATTCTCACATTCATACTATATATGAAAATAAGTACCTACTTTCTGACAAGCTCTTCAACACCAGTTGGAATAATTGGTGTCTATTTGATTTAATTTCACTGGAGTTAAATACTATCTCCATACTAACTTACAAAAAAATTTCCTTTATCTTTAGAGACATCAGTTTCAATATTCTTATATTCCATATACAGTATTTTTCCAGATTGCAGAACATATTTATTTTCCCCAAACCATGTTTCCATAACATTTTAAGCAAGTCCTCTTGATCTGCTTCCAACAATATTTCATAAATTTTACTTACTGCCCCTTTCATTGCCTTATTTTCCCCTAAACTTTCCTTTTGTAATACAATTTTTTTTCTAGTTTCTTGAATTCTCTACATTTACCATTTCTTTTTACCCAGTCCTATGTCCACTGCTCTAATTATATAATATTAAACCAAACAGTCTATCCATTCCTAATACTGTACTTCTTTTATTTGCTCTTTATTCCCCAATTTTTCTAACCATTTTTTTCATCCTAATCATGTTTCTTTCTTAATACATTCTCAATCCTTCCTTTCAAAATTCCTGGAAATTTTTCCAACTCTACCACCAGATATAGTGTGAAAATTGACGGGATAAGTGTTTTTCTACACCTATTCCAAATCAAAAACATATTCTTCAAGAAATGATTTTCAATATTATTTACTATGTTCTTATTATATTGTATCAAAAGAATATTTTTGTGGTTCAAATGTATTTCTTGCGTTTCCATATTTGAACATATTTGTTTATTAGACTGAGTTATACTGTAATATCAAGTGTGTGTCTTGTTTGATTGCCTGTATAGTATAACCTTAAATTAGGAAGTCCCAGCCCTCCTACCTTTTGAGATTTATTCCACCTCTTATTAATTCCTGATTTTATTTTATGCTTTATGGTAATTTCCCAAACTAAGAAAACTTTATTCTAACTGCATTTTGAGTCATACTTAATTTCAGGCAGATCAAGATGAGCCTTTAACTTATGCATTAAGACAAAGACACCCAAAGTTGCACTATTACACTCGATTTGTGTAAAAGCCCCCTGACCTCAGTGATACTTCCTTCCATATGAATGTGCACTCGATTGCATTAAATATTTCACTTTCATGGGGTGCAGTCCTTTTCATGATTATTGAGTTGTAACTCCCCCTGTGCTCAGAGAAGCTCGAATCCACAAAAGAGTGCTATGTATCCTGACTTGAGAGTAAGTCCCATTGAACATGATAAGGATTTAGTTCTCCATAAGTATGTGTAGGATTGCATGGTAAGATTCTGTTACATTTGTACTGGTAGAGGTGGTGGTAGTTGCTTTAAACTGCTGGCTATTATTTTCAGATGGAACTGAAAAACAAAGTGATGTGAACTTCTATGTGATTCTACCATTACTTGTATCATGCTCTTTCTTGCTGCTTGGAGTTCTCCTGATCCTGCACCAAAGGTAAAGCTTTTCTACATGGGATCATGTCCCTGTTCAGAAACTGATAAAGGTTTTTCAGGTATAAGTAGTAACATTTGTAAGATTATTGACATGCACTTGATATTCTGATGCAAAGACTTCTGGAAGCTAGAGTAAATCAGCCTCTCTGAAACAAGTATGAATTGAGATGAGTAACTGAAAAGATGTGGTAATGGCAGTATCTCCATTATTCTAGGGCTGTGTGGCATGTTATTGTTATTTAGGCATGCCCATCATAGTATGGAAGTCTTTCTTTATTCCACAAATAGATGTTATTATGGAGTGTTAGATTTCAGACCAAAAAAGTCATAAATGTAAACTCAAAACTATGTGTCATAGCACCATGACACTATTCCAATGCATATTGTTGGCCATAGTCAAGCCAGTCAAATCTGTAATGTAGGACAGGTAAGCTTTGCTTGATTGTGATGGTGGTTCAAGTTCTCTAATATTTTATAAGTGCTTATATGAGACAGGTGCTCTACTGAGGTGTTCATAAGCATATGCAACAAAACAATGAGTGAACATGTCCTAGCCCCCAGCCACTATATCCCTGCTTCTGTTGCCCTGCATAAATGGAGAGCTGCGAGTCCCCATGGACTAAGGAGGTCCTTCTCCTCAGATTTGACATGGGGGCAGGACAAGTGATGATGATGGCCGAATTATAAATCATGGTTTGAACTTGGTTTCTTTTCAATATCCATAGTTTAAACTAACCTGAATTCCATTGAATTCGGCGGTAAGAGGAAGCTATGGTTAATTTGAAACAGGAAGTGAAAACTTCCAGTTTCCTTCTTGTGACTTCACTGGAGGGGAAAAAAAAGGAATGGAGGATGTACAACACAAAGTCTCACTACAGCTCATTTGTACTGCTGGTTTAGTGTTACATCTGAAAGTGGTCAATCTTTTGAATGTTCATTGGATAAATGTAGTATTTGTAAAGGTCCTGTGTAATGGATATGAAAGATAGGAGATCTCATTCAGTGGAGCAAGAGACTTACCATGCAAGGATGAGATTAGCAATACCCAAGATATTATGAAAACATTACCCAGTGTGGTGTAATGCAGTGTTCCCCAACCTTGGGCCTCCAGATGTTTTTAGACTACAACTCCCAGAAGCCGTCACCACCACTTCTACTGGCTAGGATTTCTAGGAGTTGAAGTCCAACAACATCTGGAGGCCCAAGGTTGGGGACCATTGGTGTAATGGATGGAGTGACAGTCTGAGTCTTGGGAAGCCTGGGTTTGAATCACCATTCAGCCATGGAAATTTACTGGGAGAGGGGTGGCATTGGTAAAACTCTCCTTAAATATCTCACTTACCTTGAAAGCCCTATTAATTGTAATTGTGCCATCAAGTCAATTCTGACTGGTGACTCTTTTCAAGGCTTTTAGGGTTACTATAAGTTGGTTCCGACATGACTGCATGTAACAACAGTTTTATGAAAACAAGCTGGTAGATAAATATGTTCTAGAAATAATAAATCTGTAAACCATTTTAAGGCATTTGATGGTCTGCAAAAGAGAGGAATATGTATATGATAATATGAGGAGAATTTTAGTGTAAAATTTAGTAGCAGGATTCTGTAAGGATTGCAGCATAAGGATTTCCACATAAGACAAATAATGTAGAGGTCAGAAAGTAACTGTGAATTGTTACTGAACTTACTGATTTAAGTGAAGCTTCTAAAGGAGGAACGAGATTATCATTATTAAAAACCAGTTGCAATTATGGTGTGATTGATTTCAGGTTATTTTAGCCTCATCTCATAAATACTATGGTTATGATTTTAACAGCTAAATTGTCTTCAGAGAGTGAAGACACTATTATATCCTTTATATACTCTCTTTGCCTAATCAATATAATATTTTAATATTTCAGGATGAAGAAATTATTTTGGGATGATGTCCCGAACCCAAAGAATTGTTCCTGGGCACAAGGAGTTAATTTCCAAAAGGTATGGACTCTTGTTTTGATGTATGAGTTTTCACGTGTTTGATTTGTATTTGGTTGTTTTAACTGACATCCCCCCCCCCCAAGAATGGATACTATTAACGGTAAAGAACTGGAACTGTGGCATGTGCCTGAGTCTTTAATGCTGGAATAAATCAGGCTCTTTGGGATATAAAATCAATGCCTACCATTAAACTAGTGAGGCATATGGTGTGTTCCACAATGACAATGGGTTCTATGGTATGCATCCAAAGAAAAATGCTGCTGTTCAGGAATCTTTTGTGGGAGTTTTTCCTCTTTCCGGGTCTTTTTGTATTTCTTGGAGGAGGCAGCCTCCTGTGCTTAAAATAATTCATGAATGGAGCATCTGGCTTCTCTGAAGACAACAGGGTAGTCCCCATACAGAGAACATTCCATTGTTTGAATTTGAAGCTGTGTTATACTGACATGGTACTTCCATCTATCTCAGTATCTTGTAGACTGACTGACAGTCACTTTGCAGGTTTTTCTCCAAGGGTCTTTCTCAGCCTCACCTGGAAAGGCTGGAAATTAAACTTGAAACCCTCTGAATGTGAAGTATGTGCACTGGGCCGAAGGCCTTTCTAGACAGTTTCACTCATTTCAGTAGGTCTTTGATGGCCTTCTTGACGATTTCCCTGGTGGCTTGAGCTAATATATATCTTGATGTTTAAACAGAATTTTCCTGATTTTTAAAATGGTTTGCTTAAATAATTTGGTTTGAGAACCATAAATGTAAAATTGGAAATTTATTCATGTATGCAGGCAATGTACAAAATATATGTGGAAATGTCTGCTTAAAATATGTATATAAATATATTAGAGACAGAAAGAGAGGCCACTTGTCTCATATTGAGTACGTCTACTCTAGCTGGTAGGTATTAGCAATAAGAAATTGCCCATCATATTTAGTTTTCATTCCCACTGACATTTTTATTTTCTCATCTTCATTGTTAATTTTATTTCATTTCATTTAAACAGAGAATGGACATTCTTTGAAGTCTAATCATGGTCACAGCCTGCTGAACCATTGTGACAGCTCCCAAGCTTCCTATAACAGAATTGTTAGAAGAATTATCTGTTTGAATTCAGAAGAGAGAATTGCTTACATATCTTTTGATTATCTGTTGACTGTGTTCTTACCTTATAGTCTTGGAAATAATTATGTTCAGTAATGGTATAAAGTTCTGAGAACATTGTCTACATTTCAGTTAAAGTCACAGTTTGCTGCATGTGAAATGAACACATTGGGAACTGGAGTTAGGAGAATGGTTTTTGACACACTGCACTTCTCACTAGAAAATCTGCAGGAGCTGGCATGTCATCCTCAGAGGATAAGATGGACAAGCCACCAACAATATGGCTCTGAATTAATGAGGAATAATGGGGGTGGATAGGAGGGATAGGATTTTGCAAAAAGGCCTTCCATTTTCATTTCATGGTTTACGATAACTAAAGAAGCTTTTAGAAACAGCACTATCGAGGAAGCTTTAAGTTTACCACATTTGCCTAGCTTCAGTGGTGCGTTAAATCTATTTAAACATTTTGTCATTTGAACAGGCACTTCTCAGGATTACTGTGCAGTGTACTGAAGTAGATACAAGGATTTGAAACACGAAATTCTGTGTTTCTGCAAGCAGTTACTTCAGGAGAATTGCATATGTGGAGTTGCGCACCCAGCTAATAGAGATGCATTATTCCTAGTTGTTCATGTATCTCAGGCACAAACATGATCCTTTAAATACATTACAAAAAAATTGTTTCTTTAGCTTAATTGGTGAAGAAACTACCAGCTCCTCTGACATTATAGGTCTTGGTATTTGAACTGCTTTTGAGATTGTAGCCAGTAGAAACAGAAATTCCCAGTTAAAATTCTTTAGTTGTAAGGTAATGAGTCATTGTTATATCCTATAAGCATGTGATCTTCTTAAGGTAAACGAATATTTCTAAAAGAAAGTCCTGGCAACCCCATTTAGAAAAAGCTTGTGACTTCTTGCTGTGTGCATCTGCTTCTTTCATTTAGTTTCACAGATTTACTGTGTATATATCCAACATATATTTATAATGAAAATTATTCCTGAAACATCCTGATTTCCTAGAGTATGTAATCTCTGATTACAAAAAAGAGTATTTAGCTTTCAGCTAATCCATTTCCAATTATAATCATTTCTTTTTCTTTGATGTTTATTTTGCCTGTTTCAGTAGAGCATTAATACATGAAAGGGCAATGTGGCAATATGAAATAATTATGATATTTAAAGTCAACAGGCTGTCTCCTGTTTTCCCATACTTCATTTCCATTCATTGTAGTGTATTTAGAGCAGAACTGCGGATCCGGAAGCTCAGCATATTTGAACAGCAGGTGTTATTAGAAGGACCACAGAACTATCCCTCTAGCATAGGTACAGTGCTTATTAACAGAATGATCCACTTACAGGTCAAGAAAGATTAGTTTCTTCCCTCATTTCTTGGGATAAAGAGGTGCAAACAAAGGCAGAACACTTGAACATTACAAGAGGGTAGAAGGGCATGCCTCCATCCATTTCTCTTCTTCACAAACTACTTGGATTTGAGGGCAGGAGAGGGAAAAGGTGGGAAGAGGAGCAGGGTGTTGAATCCATTTGGGATCATGCTGTCTGCAGGCTCTGTTCCAAGAAGGGCCACCTTTCTGAGATTGCAAAGAAATACAAAAACGTAGTTGGGATTTTCTTAACAATAGAATGCAGCATAAGCAAGAACAAAAAGAATAACTTCTGGATAAATGCTTAGAAGAAACAAGGTTCTTTATGAAAGCATAATTAAAGTTTTTCACTCAATAAGATTCATTTGGGCACTGGACTTAATAAGATTTAATTGGGCACTGGATAGTGCCTGTTCCTGCTCTTTTAACTATGGCTGTCATCACACGTGGAAATAGATTGCATTTCTGGAGTACTTGAGGAGTGGCACAGTGTAATCTGTGTCCCAGGAGTCACATGACATATGTGGAATTGCACTCCAGCCTGACCCCTATCCATGCCCAAGGTAGACCTTTTTGATTCAGGTGCAGGGATCCTGCTTTTTTGGAGCTGGGCATGAGCAATTCACCAACAGATTGAAGGGTCACTTTAACAGAGATTACTCCTTGCACAGGGAGCCTTTCCAGTGCAATCAGGACATGTACATTTCTTGCCGTTTGATCACATCCTGTATCTCCAAAAGGTTGCAAGGAGGTTCTTTGGCGCCTCATTACAATTTTGCAAACACTACCAAGTTTCAGTTCCTCTGGTGAGATTAATGGTAGAGCAAAAAGTTCATATATACATATCTGTTTGTGTGACTACATTTTAAAATATTTTATTACATTGCAAATGAATGCAAACTAAACTGTATATAATAGAATATGAGGTTATGTATTCTCCTTTTTTGTGCTCCTTCACAGATGTAGATGGATCTGTGTAAAAATATTTTCATAGAACTCCTATGCTATACATGTATTTGAAAGCAAATGCTTGACAGCAGTATTTACTGATCATACTCCATATATTTACGGTAGCTGTTTTGTGATGATAGCACTATGTCTGACCAGCAAGCAGTATCCTTTGTATATCCCATTAATATCTAGTGATCTATATTGTAATTCACATATGTCTATATTAACATAAGACTTGTTTGATTTGCACAAGTTATAGCTTTGTTTTGAGTGTATACATCAAGTGTCTAGAGAAATGTTGAGTGAAGTAGCATTTCCTTGCTGGGGGCAGCAGTAGCAGCTGTTTACTTGAGCCTCAGTCTATTTGCCTTAGATAAAAATGAATTGGGCTAGCCCTTGTAAGGGATCATATATCTGAAAGGAATTCTGAGACTCAGCATATTTGTATACAGAGATTCACTGTGATTTTGCAGGGCATATGGCCTCATCTCCAGTCTGAATGAAGACGATGGGCTCAATCCTGTTGTATCCATTTATGCTGGCATTATCCTGGATAGGGTGCTGGAAATATTTAATTTAAACTAATGGAAAGCTTCTTATCCCCCTTCTCCTTTCAGGTTCAGAGGCTTCCTAGGGCTCCCTTTTGCCCACTCAGTGAGAGCTCAATGGGATACTGGCAATTAAAGCTTCCATGTCTCTTTACTGTATCATGTTTTACATTATCGTAGTCTTCCATAACTAAGAAACAACTCATAGGCCTGCCTTCTAGGAGTCTCCTGCCAGCTTTTCTGACAGCTCTCAAACCAGCCTGTAGACTTGGGTAAACAGGCAAGGAAGTTAAAATATCACCAATCTTTACACAATTTGCTGGAATATTTTTCAAAAACAGCAAGTATTTCCCATCCAGAGTTATAGACAATAGAAAAAATTCTTTAAAGCAGGGAAGCATCTTGACTAGATATTACTGATTTTGTAAGTGGAAAAGGCGCTTGTTTGTATTCTTGAAGTTTGCACATGTGGTTGTTCTGTTAAAACATTTATAACCATTATTTTGGTTGGACAGGAGAAGTAAATTGTGCAGAAATAGTATGTATTGTCTCCTGTAAACCTGACAGTGTAGTTCTGATTCTATACATATCTACTTAGAAGTCAACCTAACTTACTCCCAGGTAAGTGTGTCCAGGATAGTAACTGTTGGACAGAAAGAAACATTAGAGATAATATTTCTGTAGTAGTGGGATTCTTTAATCCCTGAAACCATCTGAATGCACAGTAGGAGCCTTTTCAACCTCACGTAATTTGCAGATTAAGTTAATTTGTTTTGTGACTTGTCTTTCAAAACAGACACAGGATTTGTAATTTGATTTCTTGAATACAAAAGTCTCCTGAAGCATTTCAACAGTAAGATGTTGTTGACTGTGATCACAATTGTAAATAATTTCCTGTTGCTGTCCTCAATAACTCCAGGCTGGACAGTTTTGCATAGGTTTTTATTTGTGCAGATTATAATGGATGGCCACAGCCAATTTTACTTATCAGCCTAAGTTCTATTCTTTCTACTCACTAATTTTTAATTCCTACCAAAGGGAAGATCAGATATAATCATACTCCCAGCTTATTGACAAGAACGAAATATGAGTGTATAAACATCTGTAGCTTAGAACATTCCCTTTAATAAATTCTTCCATCCTTTCTTGAAGTAAACTCATTTGAAAAAAAAAATAGAAGTTGCTATGCCATGTGATAGATTAAAATGTGTAGATATTTCCTGGTTAAAAATCTTAATATCTTTGCCTTGTCAACAAATGTATGTGCCCTAGTTAAAATAAAGTATAGAAACTCATGATATGTGATTGTAATACATTCATTTGCTCCCTCCTCCATGATTTATTTTGTTTAAAAACACAATAAAATTCTTGAGGCTTTAAATATAGCATGTCAGAGCAAATATAACAAAATGAATGCAAAATGCCATGTGTTTCTTTTCCTTAGCCCTTATTTCTGTTCCAAAGAAGCCTCTAACTGATAAATGAGTATTAAAATGTGTCTTGTTTTCTAGCCTGCAACTTTTGAGCACCTCTTTCTCAAGCACCCTGAGGCAATGTCATTTGGTCCTCTGCTTCTGGAGCCAGAAATAGTGCTGGAAGATGTCACTATTGATAAAACAATGAAAAATGAAGACAAGCAAGACTTCCTGAATGTCGACTCACTGTTTGCTACTATTCAAGACCTTGAACATGACTCAGCTTGCTCTAGTGGTCATTTCAATAGTGAGAGTCTCTCTGAGAGTGGTCAGGATGTTGAAACCAATGGAGGAGTGACAGGACAGTCTAATATAAAATATGCAACTATTCTAAACAATTCCGTGTCAGCTGGGCTTTATGAACCACCGAAGGCTCTGAGCAGTTCTTTTGATAGGAGATTTTTTGACAAGGATTCTCTAGTTTCAGCTTCTTTCTCTGGCAGTTCATGGGCAGTGGGAAACCAAGCATTTTTGATATTACCTGAATGCTATGAAGACGTTCTCAGAAAAACTCACACTCTCTCTGTTGTTTCATCAGAGGGCTTTTCTGAACCTCCAGAACAGGATAAAGTTTTCACTGAAGAAGGCAGTCCAGAGAGAAGCATGTTCTACTTAGGGATGGGTACACTCCGTAGAAGTGAAAATGATATTTTTTTGGCAGAAAATGCAAACGTAGCATGTCCCTTCCACCCCAGTCCTCTAGTCAGAAGCATATTTCCTCCAGATATAACACCAAATCTAAACTCCTTTGTCAGCAAGTGGGAATCCCCTGTTAAGACCTTCATACCATACATGCCACAGTTTCAGACAATGACAATTAAACTGCACGAGGCAGCCAGTAGTAAAGCCTAGGCTATTGTGTATTGTCACACTATATATATTTTAATGACGAGGTTAAAGTATGATGTCCAGTCTTTTTTTCCAGTTAAGCCCTTGGTTGTTTTTGCAAAATTATTATTTTGTAGGATGAATGGGTACATGTTTTGTTTTTACTCACAAACCTTGTATCTTCAACTGAGATTGCATTCTTGGTACGACTACACTGTATTTTTCAGAGTCAACAATAACCAAATTAACCTGCTAAAATTGGATTCTTCTATCAGATAGTGGTGTTGTTAATTTTTGTGTGGTAAGTAGATCAGTGGAAGTTATGCACCTCTATAGGATATCAGTGGTATTATTTATTCAGCAAAAATGCATTCCTCTGGCACACACAATATTCAAGAATGCATTAATTGGGGGGAATTTTTTTAAAAAAATTTGCATTTGCGTGCTGACTGCTCTCTGCTGTTGTACAGTTGAGGAGTTCATCCAGTGCTTTTTTTTTAAATCACAATTTTGTTCCCTCCTTTCTACCCATAATTTCATTAAAAAGCCCTGACTAGATTCTGTGCATCCCTTAAAATTTTAATCAATTTGGGATCACAAGCAATCCTGTTCTTTAGCGGTTAAGACACACTTACCAAATGTATTAAATGGGAACACCTCTTGCTTGGTAGGTGATAAGTGGAGAGCCCTAGACCTTATGCAGTGCTGAATTTCTATTTGTATAGGACTAGAACCCAATGTAAGATGAATTTTGCTTTAAGCAGCAGTCTTCTGAGCACTCCCCCCACCAAGGAAAAAAACTGCTCTGTGGGACACTTCATAGGGTGTTTCATTTGCCAAAGAAGATTGTGGGGAGGAAACGTCACATTGGATTTAGGCCATGGTGAATAAACTGTCAATCCAGACACTGCTTGGCCCTGTAGGTAAAAATAATTAAAATCCCTTTGTGTTACGTATCCATGAACATTCTGTAGAACTTTTTTTTTTAAAAAAAGAAGCATTTTGTTTGAGTGTAAAAATAAGTTATTTGCTCCACAGTAAACTTGCACTTGGTGCTCATAATAGTTTTGTACCTCCTTCTGAATGACATGTTCATTTATTACATAATATATGCAAGTCCAGTTAGTGATAACTCTCCTCCCAAGCACAGCTGGAGGAGTTCATATGTTTTTCCCCATTAGTGCTTTCACAGGCATAAGCTATATGTGGGATTTGAAACAGCCAGATTTGTAACTGTACTGCTATCGGCATTTTCTCTGACCTCTCTGCCTTATGCACCAATATAGGCACCAGTATATAGATTTATGATGGCATAGGGATAAGAATCACTCCATTGCTCTGTGTATGCTCATGTGACACATTGCAGAGGTGACTGGGGCCATTCTTGTGCCATTGTTGTGCAAACCCATAGCTCTTGCCCTTCTGCACAGTCTTTCATTGTGCTATCAAAATACAAAATAGTGCATTCACCCAAATTAATGGGAGCAGATGTAAAACTCACAAGCTTTCTAAATTGTTATGACATTGGCATTGAAATTAAAAAGCATGCCTACCCTTCTTCATGTGATAGTTGACTGTCAAGTGGGGCATGTGTGGATAAACTCCTGTGAGACATTCTCTCTAGGTAAATTAGTCTAGCTTTACTAGAACCCAGGTGGGAAGATAGTGAAGAAAGACAGGGACAAAAATCAAGTCATTTTAAATGTGGTGTTGGTAAAGATACTAAAGACAGCCAGAAAAGCAATGAAGTCAAGCCTGAACTCATACTTGAGCAAAAATGATTAACTCGAGTTTATTGTACCATGTACATATAATAGAAATGTGAACATTCTAAATGACTGAACTACAGTCATGGCCGAAAATATTGACACCCTTTGCAATTCTGTCAGAAAATGCAACCCTTCTCTCAGAAAATTGTTGCAGTTGCAAATGTTTTGGTATTCACATGTTCATTTCTTTGGTTTGCATTGGAACAACACACACACACACACACACACACAGACACACATACACACACACACAAACAGAGAAGAAAAGTCAAATATGATACAATCCCACACAGAAACCCAAAAATGCACTGGCCAAAATTAGTGGCACCCTTAACTTAATATTTGGTAGCACCCCCTTTGGGGAAAAAAACCTGAAATGAATTGCTTCCTGTAAACATAAATGAGTTTCTTACACCTCTCTACTGGAATTTTGGACCGCTCTTCTTTTGCAAACTGCTCCAGGGCCTTTAGATTTGAAGGATGCCTTCTCCCATCTGCTGTTTTGAAATCTCTCCACAGAGAGAGTTCATATCTGGACTCATTGCTAGCCATTTCAGAACTCTCCAGCACTTTGTTTGTAATCATTTCTGAGTGCTTTTTGAAGTGTGTTTTGGGTCATTGTCCTGCTAGAAGACCCATGACCTCTGGTGGAGATGCAGCTTTCTGACACTGGCCACTACGTTGCACCACAAAATTCTTCGGTAATCATCAGCTTTCATGATACCATTCACACAGTTATGGCATCCAGTGCCAGAAGCAGCAAACAAACCCCAAAACATCTTTGAACCTCCACCGTGTTTGACTGTAGGGACTGTGTTCTTTTCGCTGAATGCCTCTTTTTTCCCCCTGTAAACAGTGCCATGATGTCCTTGACCAAAAAGCTCTACTTTTATCACATCAGTATGTTCTCCCAGAAGGATTGTGGTTTTGTCACATATGTTTTGGCATACACCTATATTGCTTTTTTATGCCTTTGTGTCCTCCTGGGTCTCCTACCATAGGGTCCCTTTTCATTCAGATGGCAATGGATAGTGAGAGCCAACATGTGTCTGCAGATCAGCTTGAATTTGTTGGGAAGTTAATCTGGGTTCTATATCCACCACTGGAACAACCCTTCATCATAATTTTTCAGTAATTTTGCTCTTCCGTCCACGTCCAGGGAGGTTAGCTACAATGCCATGGGCTGTAAACTTCTTGATGATATTGCGCACAGTGGACACAGGAACATAAAGATCTCTGGAGATGGACTTGTAGCCTTGAGATTGTTGATGTTTTTCAACAATTTTTTTCTCTCAAATCCACAGACAACTCTTTACACTTCATTCTTTTCTCCATCTTAACTGGTTGCAAGTGTGATTACTATATTGCCCACACTTCTTACTTGTGACAGGTGTGTCTAAAGACAAATTAAACCATCACATGCTTGACAAGCAATTATTTCTTACAATTTAGACAGGGTGCCAATAATTGTGGCCAGTGCATTTTTGGGTTTCTGTGTGGGGTTGTACCAGATTTGACTTTTCTTCTCTGTTTTTTTTTTTTTGTTCCAACGCAAACCAAAGAAATGAACATGTGAGTACCAAAACATTTGCAACTGCTACAATTTTCCAAGAGAAGGGTTGCATTTTCTGACAGAATTTCAAGGGTGTCAATATTTTTGGCCATGACTGTATTTGCATAGCACAGCATAACATTCTGGCCAATCAGAATGTGTCTGGAGTCATGATTTCTGTGTTTTAATTTAAGAGCACAAATGGGGCCTATGAGTGGACATGAGGATCTGTGCATCAGATGCATGTTTTGCACCACTGCAAAACCATGCACTGGGGAACCCATGATTTCTGTGGTATAGTTTGTGGGCACAGATAGGCCCTATGCTTGGATAGTGTTTTGGGGGTGATCCTATGTAAAAAAAATCATGTGGATCCAAGAACTGCTGGATAGCTCAGTGGTTTAGGTCTCCGACTGTGAAGCCAGCGGTTTTGAGTCCAATTCCCCACTGTGCCTCCTTGTCAGGGACTGGACGTGATTATCTGTAGGGTCTGTTCCCGCTTTGCAATTCTATGGTTTTTTGTTATTGTTATTGTCCATGCCTTGGCTCAGTGGTTTTGCACCACTGCAAAGCCATGCACGTGGGGACCCATGATTTCTGTATTGTAGTCTGTGGGCACAGATGGGCCCTATGATTTGATAGTGGTTTGGGAATGATCCTAGGTTAAAAAAAAATCATGTGGATCCACGAGGATTTGTATGTTGGATCCACGTTTTCACACCATTGCAAAGCCATGCACTGGGGGCCCATTATTTCTGTGTTGTAGCATATGAGCAAAGTGGTTTGAGGATGATAGTGCAGGAAAATCATGTGGATCCTTCAGGATCCATGCATAATTTCTATGTTTCTGCACTACTGCAAAGCAATGCACTGAAGGACCCATGATTTCTGTGGTATAGTCTATGGGTACAAATAGGATCTATTATCTGACACTGGTTTAGGGAGGATAACATCTAAAAATCATGTGAAATTATGTGGATCCATAAACATATGATTAAATTGGGTAAACTTACTCATAGGTAAACCAGGTAAACCATGTTTCAAAGCCACAAAGAGAAAAAAACAATAATTTCACAGCTTAAATGAGTGAGCTGCTGTATATTATTATCTATTTTTACAGGAAGGAACTAAAAATGTGTGGACAGGAAGGAGTTAAATGCTTTCGTTCACACTGAAGGACAGGCCAGGGTTCAAAGTGACAGACACCTTCCCTGTGGGCTGACTAGAGACACATTCTGATTGGCCGGAATGCTATACTGTGCAAATAATTCCTTCGGAATTCTTGGAAGTTATTTTAAAAAGGCAGCAATTTCAGATATTTTAGGGCTTTAAAAGCAGCAATTAAAGAGTCTGAATAAAAGCCAAGAATGGCTAGATCATCCTGAAAGAAAAAAAGTGCCTCCCACAGAGCGGCTTTTTTACTTTTATGCAAATGTTGTCTTATTCACAGATTTTCTATCAGCTGCAGCTTTATGGTTGCTTGTGTCTTTACAGGGGTAAAACAGTCTTACTTTTTCAAAAACCACAACTCAAAATCCATCTGCCCAAATGTCCACAAATTTGGCACAAAGCAAGAGTAGAATTTCTGCTACATCTATGCAAATTTTGGTGCTGATCTGAGGACCAGTTTCATAGTTATAACTTTTTATTTGGGGCACCCCATCTTTTGATTTTGCTTTCAGTATGTTTCTTTGGTGTGCTTA